AAGTGGGTGCGTAGGGCGGAAAGATTCCCTGTTTTTGGTTGTCAGCACTACTGGACCCTCTCGTCTCGTGTGTCGGCCGACCCACTACACGAGTGTCCTGGCCGGAGCAATCCTGGGCTGGGCACAGCAGTGGGCACAGCAGTGGGCACAGCCGTGCGCAGCGGAACCATGTCAAGGGTAGGGAGACGCCGACCCCCTCGCCCAGGTCCCACCACACTGCTATATTCTCGCCCTCTTTCCCCGTTTATTCCCTCACCGCGGTCTTTCATCTTCGATTCCCTCCTCCAACCTCCGCAGCGGCGGCTGAGGCGACCCTCGGGCTGATCGGCCCTCCTCTAAGGGTCAGAGGCGCCCTCGAGCCCTCGAGCCCTCGAGCCATGCAAACAGGCGTAAAAGGGCCGCAGAAAGGAAAGGGTATCCTCGTGCCGGGAGGGGAGCGGGAGTGAGAGAGAGAGAGCAAGAAAGCAGGGAAGGAGGCTGGGAGCTAGCCGCGGGCGCGATCCGGCGCGATCGGCTAGCGATCCGAGAACGAGCTATTCAAAAAAACCTCAAACGAGCCCCAATGAGAACGAGCAAGAGAACACCAGCAAGAGAGGGAGAGGGAGGGATGAGAGGAAGCGGAGAGAGAAAGAGAGAGAAGGGGAGAGAAAGAGAGCGTTAGGTCGCGGTTTCGGTTTCAGCCACGGCCAGCGCCCAGCAAGCGTATGGTAACCGGAGCCGGGGGCGAGGACGCGACGCGCGAAGCGGAGCTTGAGCCTCATACTCACAGGTCCAGCGGGTCCAGCGCGTCCAGCGGGTCGTCCAGGCCGCGGCTGACCTGGAACAGAGAGGCAGGCGGCGCGTTACACGGGGCGGGACGGTGCCGGGCCTGAGCCGTGAGGCCGACGCCCGTAAAATTGTCGGTCCGTGTGATTGCCGCGAGATGGCGTGTCGAACCCCGGATGCCTGTCACGAAACGAAACAGTACACGGCGCAGGGGAAACGCCCGCGTCGTTTCCCGCTTTTTCCTCCTGTTCTGTCTCCGCGTTCGTCCGTCTGCCCCCGGTATACCCCCTTCCTACGGCAGCGTGCGACAGAGAGTGGCAGCGTTGGCGTGACCAGCTGCTGCTCCTTCCACAACACGACCATTGAATTCCGTTCCGTTTTAAAGGGCTGCGGCGAGTGGACGAACGGGAAAACCAACTATACACGACAAGAGTGCAAAGTGGCATTTCCTCACTTTCCTCGAATTGAATCAATTACGGACCAAATTTTTACACGGCGCAGAACGAACTTATTGGTTTTCAGGATGGTAAAGGAAATACAAGCAGCTCATTTATATGGCAACTTCAAACAGGGTGCTGCGACGTGGTGGTTTCCACTGTAAAAAGATGAAGAGAATTGAATTCGATACTCAGTAAAGTGAAAAAAAGGCTTTTAAAATGGTCGTAAAAAATTCTAGAAAAGCAGCAATATCTTTGCACCAAAATAAAAGACATAGGGAGAATTATAAGAATGAAACGGAGGCGCCAATTTGAAGTAGAAATTATACGTAAAAGAACTATGAAGCACATTACGTGATACCGCGGCGCTACCTGGTGAAACATGAGTATTGTCAAGTGAGGGAAAGAGGGGAGAGGGGTGGCGGATAGGTATCATGTGTTCGGCTGCATTTGGAGATTTACGTGGCTACCATACGGATAGATAACTGATCCCGACAACAACAGCAGCGCCAGCCGCACGCCATATTTGTGTTTCGCCACCCCTCCTCCCTCCATGCCTTCCATCTGAATCCGATCCTTTTTCCACGTCCGCCTTCTGCGCCCGCAGCATGAGCAAACTAGCACAGGTAGGCGAGGGGCTGCTAGGGCTGCGGTGCGGTACACTGTTCGAGCACGTGTTCCAGTAAACGAATAAAACTATCAAAAAAAATACTGTTAAAACAAGAATAATAAATTTTGCCAAAGTCCGACACAGCGATAAGTTACCTCTCTTTCTAAGCAGTAAGTGTACCGGGTGGCAGGACAGCATACCTTGATCTTGTTAACTTACAAGTTATAAAAACGTAAACAATTCTTGTAACAAAGACGATCTCTTTAGTGGGGTTGGTATAACACCAATGTTTTATAGTATTTCGAGCATTCGCAATATACACATTTGTAGTCAGGAATAGCTGCAATTATTTATGGGATCATCTAAAAACTTAAACACAAATTGTCGAGGACCGTGGAATAATAAGTCGGGTATTTTGAGAGCGCGCGGCGCAACCATCACCTCAGGACTTCAGGGGACGCAGGTCGCGCGCGCAGTCAGGACTCGAGCAGCACTGACAGCTCGCCAACCACCATGGCCGCTTGGGGCCACTTATATTTCACCACCGGCAAATCCCGCTAATTGTATGCAAATTGACACACAAGACACTTGTTTCATAAAGATCGTGCCGTTTGCTCTGAGAAATGAAGGAGGATGGAGGAGAGAAAGAAACGTGAAGAATAAGAAGAAGGACGGTACTACCTCCTCGCGCGCCGGAACACCGCAAAAAGGGAAAAGCGAGAGATGAGACCAGGGCAGAAAGCAAAGCATCTCACCATGGCGCACAAGGAAAAGGAAACGGATTTTCGGGAAACTGCATTAGAGAACTTAAGTAAACCTGCTTATGCAAACGCTCTTAAGCTTTCGCTAGTGCGCGTCTCACAAGGGGAGTCATAAAAGTGTAAGTCCCTGAATCGGTTCCAACTTTGGGGTTTTGTGGACTGTGGACTAAACGATTTCCGATAAAAGTTCGTGCCCAATAAGTACAATTTCTCAAAAAATTACTAAAAATCCTTTTTAGGGGGAAGTCCTACAATCATCACCAGTTTTTATTCAGCCCCTATGCAAACTGACAGCCCAGAATACAAACTGGGAATAATTTTCGGATTTCCCCCTCAAAATGGTTATTTACTCATTTTTGGAGAAACTGGACCCCTACAACCAAGATCAAATTGGGTACGAACATTTATCGGCAGTCGTTTAGTATACAGTCATTAATGAAAACCCCAAAGTTTGAACCGATTCGGAAATTAACACTTGTATGACATCTCTTGTCAGTAGGAGTGTGTTGGCGGCACGAAACCTTTAGTCCCATTCTGACAAGGGAACCCCGCCAAGTGAAAATTCCCGATTTTCATTCTACTTTGGGAAATTGTTGGTCTAAATATGTCATCGAAGGACACGTCAAAGATTTTTGCTTAAATTCACATTTAGGGGTCATTTTGGGTATTTGTTCAAAAAGCTGCTATTTC